GGTATCTGTGGGGTACTGGTTCTAGGACCCCAGGAGATTACTCAACTCTCTGGATGCTCAAGTCCCTTATATAAAATGCCATAGTATTTGCATGTAACCTGCACACATCCTTCCCATATACTTTAAGTCACCTCTAGATTACTAACAACACCCAATACAATGTAAGTGCTACGTGAATACTGTAAATACAATGTAAATGCTATGTAAGTAGCTGCCAGCATGCAGCAAATTCAAGTTTTACTTTTTGGAACTTTCTAGAATTTTTTCGACCCGAGATTGATTCCACGAATGCAGAACCTGGGGATATGGAGGGCCCACCGTACATCTCTTCCACTAAGTCTTCAATAAGCCAGAACTTGGTCACATGTCCCCACCTAAGTGAACGGTCTAGCTCCATCTCTGTAAAAAAAAAGGGAAATCTGGTTTGGTGAACATACCCACCTATTTCCACTTTCCAGAGGGAAAATAACCCAGTATTAAAGAAGAACTGGTTGTGAACAAATTATTGAAAATGGTATAACAAACATTCAGGAGTACTTGTTTTTGGAAAGTTAATTACTGCTGATGCAAAAAATCATTATTTTACAAATTGTAGGGTTAACCACATAACAAATTAGTCGATACTGATTCTGCTAAACTACCTGTGATTTGTAATTAAAAAGCAAAAGGAACAGCAATTTTAAAATACAAACAACTCAATACCAATAGTAAATTAAGAAAACATTTTCCTGAAAATTACAATCCCAGCTACCCTTTCACATACATGTGTAGTAGGACTCTTACAGCATGCCAAGTGTTAGACAGTGTCCACACTCCTTAGAACTGGCATCCAGGACACACACAATACGGTACACTCACCACACCCAATTCAGTGTCCTCTGGGTCCACAGCTAAACCATGTTTCTTAACTGGCTGCACTCAGGTTGGGACATGACTGAGCGCTGCCTAATGGGACACACGTGGAAGTAATGGGTACCACTGCCAGGCCTGGCACATAAAGACGTCCCACATGTGATCCTCCACTCTCTCTCCCTGCTGCACGGCCTTGGAGGATGGGTGTTAAAGGGTGGCATCACAAGAAGGAAGGAGCCTGGTTCCTGAGCAACTGTGTTGAGCTGAGCAATAGCATGGAACAAAGCAGCCACTTCTTCCAGCCCCGTCTCAGAGAATTCAATTGTGACAACAAGGAAAAATAAACTTTTACTGGAACAAACCAATGAGATCTGAAGTTGTTTATTGCAGCTAATAACCTAACCTAATTAATACAGAGTTCTTAACAAAGTCCAGAAATATGTTAATTAGGATATGAATATTAAATTTTGGTAGTCCCTTAAAACTCACTTAGATTTCTAATCGTGTTTAGTTGTATATAAAAATGCACACACCTGCCTTTATGGATCTGTTGTTGGTGTTAGCAGGTGTCTCAGTGTTATTAGCCCACACTGAGCTGGAAGCAGGAGACTAAGGGAATGAGAGAATGAAAGTAGCATTTTAGGAAATCCATCTGCTATACCGTGTTCATTTATTTAAAAAATGCTTTCCAATACCAGCTACTTCCCATCATGCTGGAGATGAAGGGTTGAAAGATGAATGAAATGCGCACTGCCCTAATGTTGTTCATGGAGGTGAGAGGGAAAAAAAGTGGCTGGTCACATCAGTGAACAATGAGGTGCCCACAGAAAGGAAGATTAGGTAAGAACATGCTGCAGCACAAGGAACAGCTACCTCTTCCTACAAGAGTTAAGAGAGGCTTCAAAGAAGTAGGGGTAGGTAAGAGGAAAGAGACTGAGACTTAGTAACTGCAGGGAAAGGTGTTTCAAAGAGCCCTGCTCTTTGTTGAAGTAACCCAACAAAAAGCCTAACACATTTCCTCTCTCAGTTTTATGTAAGACTATGGGATCTATTCCAAGAACAGAACCAAAATGCAGTAATTTTTGTGATTACGAGGTGATTTCTTCAGGTGGACTTTACTTACAAAGAAATAAAAACTAACTTTCAAGAAAGCGTTCCTTAGTATTTAAAATTTTTTTGGCATAAAGAAAATTCTACGGTTGTAATCATACACATTATTCACCCAGAGGGTAATAATATGGTTCCTGTGTACCTGCAATCATAGCGGAGACAGTTCACTAAAGAACAAAATCCGGTTCCACAGCTACATATTCTACCCTTCACTTTGTTCAGCATTCTCAAAAACATTCGGGCTTCCTCCCTGGTGGCGCAGTGGTTGAGAGTCCGCCTGCCGATGCAGGGGACACGGGGTCGTGCCCTGGTCCAGGAA